CCCACGCCCCGCGCCCCGCGCCCCCTGCATTCCCACGACCAAGACACAAAACCGGCCACCCACCTCCTCCGTGCGGTTTAAAACATGTTCCCGGCGTCGCGGCGGCGAACACATTTGGCAGGGAATGACCCCGTGACTAATGAAGAATGCGAACGCGAGTGTGGAGTCATTCATAAGCCGGCCGGGCGATATAGCGATGGGAGGCAATAAGGTCTTTACAAGCGGCCCGGCGGCCGGGCGAAAGTTTCATTGAGATGAAGGTGAGCGCAGGCGGAAGGGGCGGGAGGGGGAGGGGGGAAATGGAAAAAAATAACGAAAGACGCCGCCGCGGTGGTGGCAACACCTACCTGGAGAATGCGCTCTTCGGGCAGTTCCAGCGGTCCCACTTGAACTGCTCCTGACAGTGGTCCAGGGCGAGCTGCGCCCCGGCCGCGAGGTGCTCGTTCAGGGCCGACGTCGCCCACGAGTTCTCGCCGCTGAACATGCTGTTGATGTTGGAGGACCTGCGGACACAAAGGTGCAAAGACGACGCCGTTGAAACACAGGGTAAAGCTTCGGAGATAAATTTGTCATCGGCTACTCCGACACTTCTGTCCCAATGAGAGGAAATGGCCGGACGGAGCGGTAAAGGGGGGGGGGTGCTGGCCTAGGAGCAGGCGGTAGCGGCGGCAGAGGGAGGATTAGGAGGGATTACATATCGCCGGAGAGCGAGAGCGACCGGAGCGGAGACACATTACCGCGGTGAACTAAGCCGGGGCCGCGGCCGCCCCCCTCGAGTAGAGCGGCGCGGTGGCGCGGCGCGGGGCCGGCCGGCGGCGGGGGCCCTCGCCACCCGCAGAGCGCATTCATAATGACTGATGCTTGTCGAAGGGTGGTTGGAATAGACCAGAAGATTTAGCCGGACGCAAAAGAAGAATTGTGACCGGCTCCCGTAGAGAAAAGTAGTGCGATGCCTAGCTTTGTTTTACGCTTGAATAGGTAATTGTGCTCGGTACAGTGATAATTGACAACGTGACGATGTCGCGGCAATTTTCATCACAGGGAAGTTCACACGTTTCGTGCTGCTTTTCATCACATCATTTCGCAGTAAATTTCGCTGAAACCTCCCTAACGTCTTGCGACGATCGGGGCGACCGTGTGATACTGCACTGTTCTAAAAACCCTTCGCGTACTTGAATCTCATCGACTGCACATATTGACGTTATCAAAAAGATAAACGAAAAAGAAAAATCACAATGGATGGGGAGGTTCTCGCAGATCAGACAGAAGTGCCAACTCGGGCTCAAAAATATTGTCACACAGACAGACAGACAGACAGACAGACAGACAGACAGACAGACAGACACTCGTACTCACCAGAAACTGGCCGTTGTGGCAGACTCGGCAGGCGAGCCGTGCGAGGGGACGGGGACGGTCCACGTCAACACGAGCACCACTAGGGCCAACTCCATCCCGGTCACCAACATTACGGCGCACACTCGACCGCACTAATGTGACCCGGACCGGCGGGGTCCAGGTAAGTGTCCAAGAGCTCACACGCACGCTGGCACTAGCCAAGACAAACACGGGAACCACACTCGAACACGCACAAACACACACTCGCGCACGCAGGCACGCACGCACGCAGGCACTCCGGGGGCCGGGCTCGGTTCGCACTTTGACAGGTGGGCACAGGCACTGCAGCAGGGCTGGCGCGGGCAGACAGCGCCGGACGGGGCAGCGGGCCGGACCGAGCGGAGAGCAGCTCTCGGCACGTTCGCCCTCGACGAGGAGCTAACCACGAATGAAGAGGAGAGGAGAGAAGGACATCTCAATGATGGTCCGCTCCGGCTGGGCAAAGGCGCCTGGAGGGCTGCCTGCCTGGGGTGGCTCCCCCCACCCCATACCCCCTCCTCCTCCTCGTCCTGGCAGGCGGGGGA